ACTCACATTTCAAATATCTAGAAGTTGTTAACAGCTTTGCCAAACAGAGATTTTTCTCCTCTAACTTTCCCACATGGTTTCATTTTAATGAAATAATCCAGAAGTTTACAAAAAATAAATAAATCAAAAAAATCAAACCTCCACTGGTGGTTTTGATTATTTCAAAACTTTCATGTGTCATCAAATGATTTGCTCAGTTGGACTTTTCTACAAGTTTTCCTTCCACGCTGATTTCCCGACATGACGCTCAACTAAACCTTAAGTTGTGCTCATGAATACCTCTGAGATGTGCTTTAAATATGATGTTTTTAATATTTTAATCGCACTAATTCTTATCCTTCTTATTGCTTTGTTTATATAATTGTCTCATTGTTAGTTTTTTTGCACTTTTTGGTCTTGTTAACATGTTTCTACCTGACATAGAGGCGTATTCTTCTTTTATTGCTGTTTAATTCCTCTTCCATGTGCCTCTGGAAATATGAAAATAAAGGTAATTCTTCGGTGTTTTGTGAATGAATTTCCTGAAATTCAAACCCACATTCACACACTCACAGAGGAACTGTGCAGCATATGTGGCCCGTCAACCCAAGCAGCTGTCCTGCAGGCAGCGCTGCCGGCAGGTCGACCAATGAGGGGCCGAGGATGTGGTCGCCCGTGGCAACCGAAGAACCGCGGAGACGGTGGACAGAGAGAGGGGACAGACGGAGACAATGTGACAGCCGAGCGCACACATGCATAAACACACATGTACGTGCGCACGCAGCTGGGCGCTGAGCAAACAAGCCGGTGGAACAACACTCAGTGAGTCAGAGCTGCAGGATCCATTAGTAAGGCAGAAAAAAACCCCAGTGACCCACACGGCAACAAGTCCGAGACCTGATACGATTACAGCACGAGTGTTTTACACCACTGTGACATACAGCCGGCTGTATGTGTAAATATATATAGATGTAGTTTGGCAGCAGGTCTGTCTGGGCTCTCTGCCAGCCAGTGCACTTTAAATCCCTTCATCACATCAGACTTGAGTGAAAATCATGACTCACATCAACTTTATCCACGTTTTTAAAACTCCTGCTGCAACTTCGCAGGCGACAGGTGAGTAAAGGACGACCGCACGCACGGAAAAACCAGCCAGCGATAAACAGTCCTTCAGGAAACTTCAACAAACGTCAGGTGATGAGCGACACACACCAGCTCTGTTTACACTCAGACTGTGGATTATATCAGCGGTTAGTGGGGCTCTGGACTCAGTTCAACATCACAACACTGTGAGTGTCCACTGACAATAAAATGCACTACAAAAGAAAATCTGGCAGCAAAAATATGATTAAGAAAAAATACACCATGATATACTGTAATGTCAAAAAACTGTTTTAAAACAAACTGACAAAACTGTAATTTTATAGCAACTCTCTGTAAAAGAACAGATTTCTTGATGTAAAAATATAGATTTTTGAAAAATCTAGTTTTTTCGGCCAATTTAAATATAGCAAAAAAATTGTAATTTTACAGTCAAATGTAAAAAAGAAAAAGAAAAAAAAAATCAATTACCGTTTATCAAAAATACAGACTTTTAATGTGGACATCATTTACACTTTTTTTCATACCATCAACATGTAAATTATTAATTCTTTTCAGTAATTTTACCAGATATTATCGGTAATTTAACAAAACAGGAAAAATCTATTTTTAAAAAAAAACATTTAAATCTATTTTTAAAAAAAAACATTTAAAAACATTATTTTCTTTTAAATAACAGCCTATAATTTTTAAACATTTTTTTGCTATCAACAATTTTTTTTAAAAATTTAAAAATCTGTAAAATAATTTTTACATTTATTTTTTACAGTGTAACAACATTTGTTAGTTTGATCTTCTCAGATTGGCAGATTTATTGCTTTACTGTTGCATCTTACTAACCTTACTAATCATACGACTGACCAAAGTTAGTCGTATGATTGACTTTTGCTATTTTTAAAAACTTGTTGAGACAAAACTCTCCATAAATGTAATGAAGAAGTGAGTTGCTGCTGCACTGATGAAGCGTATAAACACATCTCCGGGAGCTGCACTTCACCTCCTGGTTGGAGTATTTGTATTAGAATTGTATATGCAGACATTCCTGAGCCCAACGTCTTTACATATATGCCCCATGCTGAATAATGCAGCTGGGGTGGAGCACAGTGGTCAATAATTAAGTGGATCCATCGGTGTTGGAGGACGACACTCATCCACAGTGTAAACGATAAGTGGGCCAAGAAAGCTTAGGTGTCCGAGGAAAGAATCATCACAGCGTCCTCTTACTGAGGGCCGCACGTCAACAGCAGGCATCGTTTACCGACGTTTTAATCCTGAAACATCATTTATTATTTAGGATTATTTAGGGTTAAGGCTCCTGTCGGTCCACACTGACTTTAAGTGGTAAATGGTAAATGCTCTGCACTTATATAGAGCTTTTATCCAAAGCGCTTTACAATGTGTTTGTCATTCACCCATTCACACACATTCATACACCAATGGTGACAGAGCTGCCATGCAAGGTGCTGCCTGCCATTGGGAGCAACTATGGGTTCAATGTCTTGTCCAAGGACACTTGGACTGTGGAGGGGCGGGGGATCAAACCACCAGCCTTGTGACTGGAGGACAACCCGCTCTACCACCTGTTCTCAAGTGTTGCATAAAGAGATGACAAGCTGTTGATTTGTGTGTTTTTATTGTGAAATTCGAGGGTTAACAATATTGTGCAAAGCTGAAGATAATGAATGAAAACTGATGCAGAAATCTTCATAGCAGTTTATAGTGAATGTGTTCAGTGGAGCTGCATCAGTTCATCGATTAACTGACTAAATAAAATCGATTAATCGGAAACTCTTTTGACAGTGGGCTTGGACTTTGGGAAACACTGACTGACTTTTTTTAATTTCATTTTTTTTTCACTTCTTCTTTGTTTTCTATTAGGTGCAAGACTAGCTGATGAATGGATTCGTTAGTAGAAAACATGTCTAAATTCTGTGACTCCAGCTTCTTAAATGTGAGTATTTTCTGGTTTCTTTCCTCCTCTGTGACAGTAAACTGAATATTTTTAGACAAAATAAGACATTTGTCTTCTTGGTGAAAATGGCACATTTTTCACCCAGTTCTAACTTTTTATAGCTCCTGGGTGATATGGAATTTTCAGGGAGTAAAAAAATTCCAATATATTGGCCAAAATTCTTTATTCATACATTATATCTGGGTTATATTAATTTGTGAAAAGTGATCATTGTTCATTAACTTTCCTGGAATATATTTAACAAACTAGTTTGCAAAGACACCACTTGACTCCACACCAGTGTGCTCAGCTACATGTACTGCAGACAGAGTTTTCTCTGAGCTACATACATCCCATCCTCTTTTAAATCTCACCTTAAGACTCACATTTATGTCTTTTCTTAACTCATGGCATTTGCTGGAACTGTTTTATCTTGGTTATATTATATGTTTAGGATCCTATTGTTTTTATTATTTGTCTAATTTGACTCTTGTTTTATCGTAAAGTACAGTGTAACTTTGTAAAAACTTTCCAAATAAAGTTATTAAAGATGTATTTGAGCTCTCTTATCTTTCTGCTTTGGTGAAGGACATTTATTTAAGTGGATTCCATCAGCTTAAAATTACTTTGTATCTTTTTAAACTCATATTCAAAAGTGAAAAGTTTAGATAAGCTGCTCTTTGAGCATTCTGGATCTTAGGTCCACAGTTTTTTTCAAATCTTTATGCTGAAACTCAACTGATGACAAAATCATGTTGTATTTTTAACAACTGGGTACTGAAATGGAAAAACTTGGAAGCTTTAAGTTGACTTTCGTTGACATGAAGTTGCAGCAACGCTTGTTTAAGAGGACTTAAATGATTTATGCAGCTTAAACCAGTGGCTTTAATATTAATTGTTGCTTTAATTTGGATGAACTTCATCAAACTGCATGTTACCAACAGAAACAATTCATCAACGTTGGTCCAACACGCGTCTTTGAACATTTTTGTTGTATATATGTGAGGTGATTTTTACATAAGCCGTGATCACGTTCTGCAGAATGTTTAGTTTTTTGTTTTTGTTTTTATTGGCACACATACAGATAAATCTGTCAGAAGCCAAAATCTGGCCAATAATATATCGTTCACTTGTGATAAACAAGTAATCAAGGAAATAATCGTTTTAAACTAATACACTTTAAAAATAAAATAAATGATGCGTCTCTTTAGATACAGCTTAAACTTACTAAAAGCAGGTTTTAACAAGCTTTTGTGAAATTAAATGTTCAGTTTGCAGTCTGGTCCTGCATCGACCTGCTTAGCAAAGCAATACTGAATGTGCTTCAGCCATTATTACACTCTAAAAAATGAGGTCTGGGCTCAACAACAACAACAACAACAACCACCACAATAACGCAACAGTTTGCATAAATCCTTTGGGGTTTTTACAGTTTCTAATGAAATTATGTTCAACCAACCAACTACACTGGGTTACAGGGAATTAGCTTTTTCTCTAAAAATCAATCGTATATCTAATTAGCAGTTTTAACCATCTGTCTGTCCAGGCAGAAGAAAAATGCACTTATTGATCCAATTTTATGTGGTTCCCTCAACTTAACTGAAGTAATGCAGAAATTTGAGTTGGAATTTGAGACAAGTTGATGCAATTGAGTCAATGCAACCATCAAAATAAGGTTTTCAACTTAAAAGGTTGCTCTAAATCAGTACATTTTAGTTTCTGACTCTTGCAGCCATGCATTCAATAGTGAGAACAAGTCATTTGAATCGCTTTTTACTGGGAGACAAACACAGACCATGCAGGTGAGCTGAATGTCCAAACCAGCAGGTAGGTCAGATGAAAACAGCCCCAACACAGAAAACCAGCAGAGTTCATGTAGAAGGAGAGTCTCGGTCACCAAACCAGCAGTTACCACACAAACAACAGCCACAAGCAGTCCAGAGGTCCACACACACTCAGCGGCTCTTACCTTGCTCCGGATCTGCCCTGAGGTGGACACTTTGCGGATGAGTTTCTGGGGGCCCTCCTGCTCCGCCTCGCTGTCGGAGGACTCGTCCGCAGCTCCGGAGCCGGCCACGGCGCCCACCACATGCGCATGGATCCCTGCCGCGGACGCCGGCCCTTTCTCCGGCTCCTGTCGGGGGGAGGAAGGATAAAACCAGTCGGGGTTATTCGCCTTCGGTCGATCCGCCGCTGCCGCCGCCGCCGCCGCCGCTCCCTTCCTCTCCGGGAGACGAGAGCTGCTCAGCGGCTGCGAAGCGTCTCTCCTCGCCGTCATGTCTCGCTGCCTCTACGGTAAACACGGAGCTGTTTTCCGGTGTGTGTGTGTGTGTGTGTGTGTGTGTGTGTGTGTTTGCGTGTGGGCTGGTGAGCACGCAGGGGATGGAGCATGTCGCGGCGCGGTGGGGATGGGCTCCACGGCGTACAAACCCCCTCCCCAAAGCTCCCTGCTCGGCTGGCGGTTATGGCTCCAGCCCTGCGCGGCCAGTCGAGCTAGAGACCGCCTCATCCAGTCTGTGCGCCGGTGTCCGTGCCATGGCAGACCCTAGCGGCTGCTTTACTCCAGCACCGAGCAGCCAAATGAGAGCAATTTAATTATTTAATTTCATTCCATGCGCGGAAACTAGATTAAAAAACAGGCTGGAACTACCAAAACATGCCACAACAAATATCCAAATTCACAAATATCTTGCTTTTCTTTTATTCTAATCAGTTTTATATTCCGATTTGCACATGTGCATGCGTACAGGAGGGACATTAGATGAGCCTGAGTTGGACTTGTTCCAACAAATATGTCAAAAAGCCCGTTTTTACGTTACATAAGTCCACTTTTATTAAGTGACTTGGTTTGAACACGACACGACAGAGTTCAAATTAATTTCCATGGAGCGGACAACACTGTGGGACCGAGAAGGAAATGGGCAGGGTATAATATCTGGAATATAAAAATCTGAAGAGAGGAATAGAGGGCAGAAAAGAGAAGAACAGGAGATTCACGGTTTTTTATCCGAATATGAACGCAAACGTGTTTTTTCGAGTCATTTCGCGTATGTATAGACTCTAATCAGCACTTCTGTGTTTGTTTTACGCAAAACTAACACTTGTAAAGAAATTAAGACGCCCTACGGCTGCTTTCAGAGCGAAACTCGACCGTACAAATCACGGCAAAAGAGTGGAAAAGCCGTTTTACGCACGCAAGCTGCTGCCTCCAAAGCGCACGAACTCGCTGGATTCATGTCTAATTCTTTTCTTTTCTTTGGGAAAACTAAAAGAAAAAAGGGAAGGAAAAAAAAGAAAAAGCGTCTCCGGTGTTTTACTAACCAGTTCCTCCCAGGCAGGGCTGCGGGTGTAATGGTAGACATCCTCCATAGTCCCAGATCTCTGCGTCCGCTCCGGGGAGAAAACAAGCGAATCAGGGGAAAGTGGAGGAATTCTCAGCCTGCCGCGGTGCCTTCACGCCGCTCGTACGCGCACTGAGGAGATGGCACTGAGCTGCTCTGCGCCTCCTCCGCCTCCTCCCGCCGCTGCCTGCCGCGCTCCGCCGCGGTGCGTCTCTTTCAATGGCCGAGCCCATCGGCGCTCCACGTGATAAATGTCAAACCGGCTCAGAAACGCGCGCACGGCTCCGGCACGGTTTGTCATGGACCCGCCGGGAGTCACGCGCACGAGCTCGAGTGTGTAGGATAACTGATGTGCGCGCTCGGCAGTGTGTAAGTGGAGTTAGAGTTACGTCATCCATAAGCGTTTCCATTTCCAAAAATTCATTTTACGCGAGCAGTTTAGTGCCAGTTTCCCCAGAATTCCCCCAATTCCTCATGAAAACTGAGTTACCAAGGCCACCGTCGTAACACTGAGCTCTCTATATTTGCATTTTTTTGCAAATGTGAAGCTAATTTTGCCATTCATTTTGATATATTACGATATAATACTAGAGTGTTTTGGTAGAGCAGTAATTACTGTTCTTAAAAGTCCTATAAATGATGCTACTAAAATCTGGTTTATTGTTGTGTGAGCTTAGACACCTGTCATGAATAATAATGACCCTCATAAGTAAGTGTTTATGTAGCTGTATTAGACTTATTTTTTGCTGTTATTATAGACTCCTGTATGTTATTGTCTGATGTTTTATCACTATTATTTTTTCACATTTTTTCCCCCTTTTTAATGTAAAACACTTTGTTTAATGATACAGATTATTACAGTGAATGCCAATTTTCCTCCTTCTTCTATTCTGTCTTGGTTTCCTTTTATTCTTGAGCTAGAAGGACCTTATAGAACAATAAAAACTACAACATACTTGTGTTTGGATTATTTTTTAAGAAGATACACCTGTGTAGGCTACGCTAACAGCTAAAATCCATCCATCCATCATCTATACACCGCTTAATCCTCACTAGGGTCGTGGGGGGCTGGATTCTATACCAGCTGACTCAGGGTGAAGGCAGGGGACACCCTGGACAGGTCACCAGTCTATCGCAGGGCCACACTTAGAGACAGACAACCAAGCACACTCACATTCACACCTACTGACAATTTAGAATCACCGATTAACCTCAACATGTTTTTGGACTGTGTGGGAGGAAGCCGGAGAACGTGGAGAGAACTCACGCTGCGCGGGGAGAACATGCAAACTCCACTCAGAAAGATCCTGGGTGTCCTCACAGGGATGCAAACCAGCGACCTTCTTGCTGCGAGGCAACAGTGCTAACCACCGAGTCACCTTGCAGCCCCTAACAGCTAAAATAAAGCAGGTAATTAAAATAAAAATGTTAAACAATTAAAGATTAGATCAGCAAAATATTATTAAAATCACAATGTGCAACATCCAAATTATTTTGATTAAGCTTAAATGTGCACACAATGATGGAGCTAAAATGTTTAAACAAAAATGGCACTAAAAGTGAAGCATTGTGGTGCTACAGAGATGCCCCAACCTATAAATCGTATTCTCCAGACATAACGGAACATGCTTATTTGGTACAGACTGCTTCAAAAGCCACATCAACCTTTTCATGTTGGTTAAAGTAGGAAAAAAGTGGAGAAAAGGAACATTTACAGTAAAAACATGACTCATTTCACATCCTATTTGCATATCGTTCCGTTCTGCTCAGAATATAAAGGTCACCACCTTCTTGTACAGAATTATTTTGGTGTACCATGGCCTAAAAGAGTTCAAAAAGCCTGCGAGGGGTAATTTCAGTACTAGATTGGGCAGACTGTAAACATTCATGGCCTACATATTAAACAAACTTACGCAAACATCCAAACCATGAACCTAATGATAGATATTATAGTGTAGTCATTGTCTATCTATCTATCTATCTATCTATCTATCTATCTATCTATCTATCTATCTATCTATCTATCTATCTATCTATCTATCTATCTATGGTGTATACATAATGTATACATGATTACTATAGTACTGTTTCTAATGGATGTCTTGTGTCGTCTTTGGAAACTAAACTGCACATGCTTTAAAGACGGATTGAGATTATCCGATGAGTTGTAGTCTTTGAAATATAACTTGCAAGAATTATTTCAATTCATTTAGATTTAAGTCACAATATTGGGGCTACATTTTTTTTTTCAGTACTAGGAACCAAAGTGAATCTCCTACGGAAGACTTTATCCGCGGACCACTTTGTCCTACCGTTATTTTCTTCCGCCTGGGGGCAGAATGAGCTGACAGATGTTATGAAATGGGAACGAAGCCGGGGGTCAACGCGTAACTCCACAAGAAGCGTGTGTTTTTATATTATTATTATTTTGTAAGTAGGTTTAAAGATGCACTCCCAGATACTGTGCAGCGGCACCGCAGCGGCCGTGGCTGCCCGCAGGATGCGCAACATTCTGGGTGGTGTTCTGGGGAGAGACGGCTGGATGTGGAGGAGTCATGAGGTTAAATTCCTCAACACGTCGTCAGGTAACTCACCGGTTTGACTGAACACCACAGGAGCAGATAAATAACTCATTTAAAACTGATATTATTAAGAAATAGCAAACCTCCAGCTAGCTAAAGTTTGGTAGCTAAGGTAATAGCTCACTAGCCACATAAATAATTAGCTTCTGTCAGAGGAGCTGCTCGGTTTGGAACAAAAATTAACTTTTGTGGCTGCTTGCTGACAAAATGCGAAATACTTGTACTATATATGATTATATAGTTCTTCCAGGTGGATGAAAACAATGTTCACGTAACTTGTAACTGTAGACATGCTCAGTACCTCTAACTAGCAAGTAGGTGAAAGGTTAACACCAGTTCTTTTGCTGGGTAAAGTCACTTTACAAGCTGACTTTGTCTAACTGTACTACAAAGCTGGATTTGAGGTTAGCAAAGGTAATTTCGGTTTAGCTTCGTTTATTTTAGGTTTCTGACTCCCTTTGCTAAGTGGGTACATCATCACGAAAACTGTGCTGAACACCAAAGGCTGCCTTTTAGTAATAACAACTTTATTTGTATAACACATGTCAAAAACACAGTTACAAAGTGCTTTACCTCAAGACAAATGTCAAACTAAGATCACAAACATGCGATAAAGCCAGACAACATACTGCAGTTAAGACCTTGTAGTGGTATTAAATGTGTGAATATACCTGAGTAATTTACACATTGGGGATTAAAATACTACTGTGCTGGACCCTACAGGAGCATTGATTTTGGGAAAATACTTAATTTGAGTAATAAAGCTGGACACTACGTAGTATTATAGTATTATGATGCATAACCTAACTAATTTTTATATATTGTGGAAAAAAACCCAACAGTGTTATTAATTAGATTTGGAGACACACATGACTTTTTTGTTTATGTATTTTTATGTATTTTTTATTATTATTATTTTTTGGCCTTTTTCGACTTTATTGGATAGGACAGAGAGAGGGAGACAGGAAAGTGGGGGGAGAAGAATGGGGTCAGCAAAGGGTCTATAGCCCTATACATGGGACACCACCTCAACCAGGTGAGCTATAATGGCGCCCTGTTTGTTATATATTAAGAATATATTATGTGGCGGCTGTGGCTCAGGTGGTACAGCAGTTGTCCTCTGATTGTAAGGTTGGCGGTTCGATGCCCGGCCCTCCACAGTCGAAGCATCCTTGGGCAAGACACTGAAGTTTCTCCCAATGGCAGGAAGCACCTTGCATGGCAGCTCTGTCACCATTGCTGTACGAATGTGTGTGTGAATGGGTGAATGAGAAACACACTGTAAAGCGCTTTGGATAAAAGCGTGATATAAGTGCAGACCATTTACCATTTACCATCTTTCAGGAATTTTGAAGCTGTTTTTACTCATTGACCAATATGTGGTGTTTTGATGTAATGCCTTAAACACAACCTGCTCCAGAGCAGGTCCGACTGTTGCGGCCCTGAAAATTCAGAGTTAAATCTGAAGTCAACTCGAAAACCCCATATCCTGCTTCGTAGTCCAGACCCCTCATAACAGCCTTTCACTAATTAATCATTGCCTTTGTTTTTAAAACCCCTATGGGTTAGCTGCATTGGAGCCCCTGAGCTGAACTCTTGAAAGAAATCAAACTTCAATAACACTTACCATGGATTTTGAGACATTTCTCAATTGCTGTAAAATTTTTCGCAAAGTAAAAATTCTATGTCGTTGGCCAAATAAGAGATGATTTACGTGTTTCCCACCATGTACGCAATGCTTGCTTAGACAAAGAAAGACAGTGTCCATGAAACTTTATCCATATTAATATTATTATACATATTTAAAGACAATGATCGTTATCATAAAATACATGTTCTTTTGTCATACAAAAACAACAAGTACATGTTTGCTCATCTTTGTTTGGTTAAGAAACTGATGCATGTCCTCAAACAAAGAAACCGTTTCTCTTTGTTTGGTCACACAGTTTGACTCGTCGCAGCAGGAAAAGTACATGTTTTTCTGATGATAATAATAATAATGAGGATTGTTCAGTTCTATTCAAATGTCCCGTTCAGCTGTGAGGTTAAAACACAAACCTCAAACTAAAACAGCCTTCATCAAGTTTATTAATCACACCTGAGATCATCCTGCTGCTACATTTTTAATTAGTGTCCAGCTGTGCAGCAGAATGAATATTTGTCAGAGCAACTTTTACATTCACCTTTAACTTAGGCAGTTTTTAAAATCTTTTCTTATTCTAAATTATTTTTTTTTTAGTTCAGTTTTATTTTGATTATTGTGTTTTTTTAATCTAGTTTACATTTTTTTTTGTGATATATAAACTGCTGCTGCAAAACTGCATTTTCCCTCAGTGGACCAATAAGTACTCTGTGTATCTATAACAGAAGCTATAATGTCCTGACTGTTTGACATTTTGGTCGCTCTGTTCTTTTGCAGGTGACACTGTGAAGATCGGTGAGATCTCCTACAAACTCAAAAGCCCTCAGAACCCAGAGCTCGTTCCTGTGAAACACAGTATGTAACTTTCTGTGTTAGGTTGGATGTTGGAGCACAAAAATACAGAAAGTTTGTATGAAATGATGGATTTTTCTCTTGGGTTTTCTAGTTTCAGACTCCCTGCCCCAAACAGTCGCCCAGCACCTCCGATGGATCATGCAGAAAGACCTGCTGGGTCAGGACGTGTTCCTCATCGGCCCCCCAGGACCCCTGAGACGATCCATAGCTATGCAGTACCTGGTGAGTGCTCACAGTTTGACCAGGGACAAAACTGTGAAGTGAAATATTTGTAAAACTATAATGAACCTCAACCTCAGTCTTTGTGCAATGAAAAACTGCTGTTGGACACAATTCATGAGTTCTGTGGGCGTTTCTTTGCTCCAGACATTAAATAAAATAGCTGATATTTATTGTTCATTTGTTTTCATTATTGTTTTTTTAAATGTTTGTGTGGACAGACATATGTGGCTGCACTAATGACAAATTATTCAATAAAGTGCCAAAGTTCAGGAAGAGCTGAAGTACACACAGTCTGGTAATACAGAAAACAAACAAAACGAAAAGAACAAAAGTAAAATAAAGGTGTCAACTGTTGCACAGGTGTAGTGAGTTCAACAGTAAACAAAGAAATTATTTTTAAAAGAACTGGAATGAATAAAGTAAAATTAGAAAGTGAAATGGAAGCACTGAACATGAATACAAATCGAAACAGCAATAGCAGTCCTGCATGTGCTGCTGAGTGAATATTTGCACTAACTAAGGCATCGTAACAGTCAGTATAGGCATTCAGTTGCTTTCAAATTTTCATCAAGGCTGGAACAAACCAGTTCTTGTTACCAGAAGGAAAAGGCTCATGTGTCTTTCCTTCCTCTAAACCTCATCACAGTCTGTACAAAACAAGCTTTTAACAGGCAAGTTCCCAAACTGAAATGCTACCTGTGTTTGGTTTCTTCACACTTGTAGCCCAAACCCTCAGGTGAGTTGTCAGTAGATTATGTTGTTTGTTGTTGACTAGAGAGTTGCTTGAGGTTTAATACTCACTGCATGCTCTCGAGTCAACATGTAAACATTTGAATTGACTCTCCACCTCACTGGATGCCAGTTTATTCAATATGTTTTTACAATTCTGTTATTTTGTATTGTACCAAATAAGCCTGTTTTTTTTCTCTCCCCTGTTGTCGATTAGGAGTTGACCAAACGGGAAGTTGAGTATGTCGCTCTGTCCAGGGACACCACAGAAACGGACCTGAAACAGAGGAGAGAGATCCGATCAGGGACGGCCTTCTACATCGACCAGGTACATCCACTGATTCCTTACAGTGTTTAATTGATTTTATACACTGTCCAGAAATCCAAGTTCGACATTAATCTAAGCTGATGTAAACGCCACTTTACTCCAGTGCCACAATGGGCTTGTTAAGTGCACTCACTACATGTTCATCCAGTGCTAGTGTGGATGTCTGTCGATATGAGTTATGTATGAAGTGCGATCAAAA